TTCCAAAAAAATCAGTCCCTAAAGACATTTCTAAAGATTTGCGCCCTATCTCACTTACCCCCACTTTATCCAAAATTTGCGAACGGTTTGTTACAGACTGGTTACTTAAGTCAATTGGTGCAAAGATTGATACGCGGCAGTTTGGCTCCGTTAAAAATTCCTCGGCTACCCATGCCCTAATGAGCCTGATCCATCACCCCCTGAGTGCTACAGATGCTTCAAGCAATGCGGTGAGAGTATTCTTGCTTGATTTTGAAAAAGCTTTTGATCGAATAGATCACAACATACTGGTGAATAAGCTACAACAAATGAGTGTTTCCAAAACCATTATAAATTGGATTAGAAGTTTTCTCTCTGATCGTAAACAACGAGTCAAGTTGGCTAACTGTCATTCGGACTGGCAAACGTTAAACGGTGGAGTGCCGCAAGTGTCGGTGTTAGGGCCGGCTTTGTTCCTTGTTATGATAAATGATCTTCTTATTGATTGGAGCGATAGATGGAAGTATGTTGATGACAGTACGTTTGCTGAACGAGTTACATCAACTGAGAGTAGTGAACTACAAGATCTAGTGAATTTTATCTATAACTGGTGTGAAGTTAATAATATGAAGCTCAACATCGGCAAATGTAAGGAAATGGTAATTGACTTTGCAAGAGAAAAACATGAGTTTTTACCGTTAACTATAAATAACGTTGGTATTGAGCGGGTAAAATCTGCCCGAATTCTTGGTCTCGCAATCCAAGATGATTTGAAATGGAACGAGCATGTGAACCATATTGTTAAAAAAGCGGGAAAACGCCTTTATATGCTAAGGTTGTTAAAACGATCAAATGCCGACAATAGCATTCTAATTTTGGTATACTGCACCATTATCAGACCAGTACTCGAATATGCCTGCCAAGTTTGGCACTTCAATATTACAGAATACCTAAGTGAAGATATCGAAAAACTCCAGAAGCGGGCTCTGCGTATTATCTTGCCATTCGCTACTTATAGAGAAGCTTGCAGTATTACTGGTATACCCTTACTGAAAGATCGGCGGCGATTATTATGCGAACGTTTTTTGTTAAAAATGCACATGGAGACAAATTGGGTGACCTCTTACCGCCTAAACTTGAACATAACTATAATACACGTTATGGAAGCGATTATAATAACTATAGTTGTAAAACGGACAGATTTATGAAATCGTTTTTTCCACAGATGGTTTCACATATGAATAGACCATAATTTTAATATTTTTAATATTTTTAAATTTGAACTCTATAACTTTTTCAACTGAAGTTATGAATAATTTTATGCATCTAGATATTCTATTGTAGTATAATGAGACTTTTTACTGATGTAATTTAACCTAAAAGGTTACAAATCGGTATTTTATTAAATTATCAAAAAAATAAATTATCAAAATTATCATTATCAAATCTCTAGCCTTCTCATCACCATAGATAATGGACTTGTGATGTTTGTTTATGATTTTTCGTATGTCTGGTCCACGCGGATTATACTTAGTAACTAAACAACAATATCCTTCATTGGACTTTTTCGTACTTTTGCGTGCACGCATATATATATATATATATATATATATATATATATATATATATATATATATATATATATATATATATATATATATATGAAATCCATCAACCAATCAGACGTTCCCACAGACTTCAACAACGTCAACAACAGCGCGAAAATTCAAATGATCAATCTTTCTGATGAAGGCTCGAAGTACCGAGTCGAAAGCTCAAAACAAATAATTACAATCCGGAGAACACTGTATAATTTTGTAAAAATTATAATTTAATAAAATGCCTGGATTACAAATCTTCAAATCTATTATATATATATATATATATATATATATATATATATATATATATATATATATATATATATATATATATATATATATATATATATATATATATATATATATATATATATATATATATATATATATATATATATATATATTAATTTAACAATTATACCATGAGCTCGAGTCGTATATGAGCTGATAGCGGACGAGGTGCGTAGCACTGAGTCGGCTATCAGCCATATACGACGACAGCGAATTAACTGAATAGCCATTAACTGAAGCAATAATTATTTATCCTCTGTTACGATGTCTTGACAATTTGTTCGGCCAAAAACCGCTTGGCTTTGAAAATTTGAAATACTTTTGTTTTACAACTCGAAGACGAAGTGAAATAAATGGTTTTAAAACCAGTATATATCACAGAAATATATATATATATATATATATATATATATATATATATATATATATATATATATATATATATATATATATATATATATATATATATATATAAAACATGCGACAATTTCGATTCGATTATTCACTAAAGAATATTCCTATACCATCACAGGATGCTTACCTAAAGAATTTGATTGAAAAAGTGGAGAGCGTAACAAAACGTATGAGATGGAAAGCTAATTTCTTCCTAAAAGGATCAACGACTCAAAACCAAAGCAACCTTTTCGGCCTTTCGTCTAACAAATCGCCTCCTTCAATTCCACTTTTGAAACCTTTCGAAGACGACTTGATAAAACTAATTGAAAACGTAAAATTCCGGCGTCCTAAAGACCAATTTCAGACATGTTTGGCTAACGATTTGAAGAAAATTAATTCATCCCCCAACATTTTTATTTTCGCGGACAAAACTAGAAACATTTACGAAACGTCACTGAACACATACAACGAACTCTTACATGATAACATCACGAAAACGTACAAACATGGATCAGAGGACTTCATACATGAAATTGACTCCGAATTGAAAGAAATTTCGAGTAGGTTAGGAATTGGCGACAGAATTGAACGAATGAAAAAACGCGAAGCATTTATATCTTTAAAAGATCACAAAGAAAATTTCGAAAACAATCCAAAATGCCGACTAATTAATCCCGCAAAAAGCGAATCCGGAAAACTAAGTAAGGTTATTTTAGATAAAATTAATTCCAATTTGAGACAAAAACTAAATTCAAATCAATGGAGAAATACGCAACAAGTAATTTCATGGTTTGGCAATATAAACGATAAAGACAGGCACAGTTTTATTTCATTTGATATTGTGGATTTTTACCCATCTATTTCCGAAAAACTTTTAAATGAAGCATTGGCCTGGGCTTCGGATTTGACTACTATTACCGAAAACGATATTTCAATAATAAAACATGCAAGAAAATCTCTACTTTTCGGCAACGGCAAATTATGGACAAAAAAGACGGAAGCAACAGTTTATTTGACGTCACTATGGGTAGTTTCGACGGCGCTGAAATTTGTGAGCTGGTAGGCCTTTTCATTTTAAATCACTTAGGTAAGAGGTTTGGCAAGGAAAACATCGGACTTTATAGAGATGATGGTTTGGCTATTATAAAAAGCAAATCCGCCCGTTTACTAGACAAAACTAGAAAAGAGCTACACAAAATTTTCGAGCAATTTGACCTTAAAATCACCGCCGAAGTAAATATGAACGTTGTAAATTTTTAGATGTTACTTTCGACCTGATCAACGCAAAACACAAACCATACAGGAAACCCAATGACGATCCATTGTACATCCACAGACACTCAAACCATCCACCAAGCATTACAAGACAATTACCTACAGCTATCAACAAACGCATTGCACTTCTCTCATCGGACGAACAAACATTTAAGGAATCCACACCTATTTACCAGAACGCTCTTACACATAGTAACTTTGATCATGAATTTACGTACACTGAGAATGCACCGCAACGGACACGTAGGAATAGGCAACGCAACATAATTTGGTTCAACCCACCATTTAGTAAGAGTGTTAACACGAACATAGGACGGGAATTCTTAAGTTTAATTGACAAACACTTCCCGCTACAGCACAAACTACACAAGATTTTTAACAGAAACACTTTAAAAGTAAGCTACAGTTGCATGAACAACGTTAAGTCTATAATCACCAAACACAACGCACATATAATTAGGAACAGTCAATCACAGAATACGGAAACTGACAACTGTAACTGCGACAACAAAAACACTTGCCCACTACCGAAACAATGCATGACCAACAACATTATTTACAAAGCAACAGTCACAACGAACAACACGAACGACACTAAACACTACATTGGTATGACAGCGACTACATTTAAGGAACGTTACGCTAACCACACTTCATCTTTTCGTCATAAAAAAGACTCAAACAAAACGGAACTTTCGAAACATATTTGGAAATTAAAAGAAAACAATCAGGATTATACCATCAAATGGTCAATTTTAAAACACGCTATTTCGTACACAGGGGGATCAAAACGCTGCAATTTATGTTTGGAAGAAAAATTTTGCATTTTGAAAGACATAAACAAAGACAATTTACTCAATAAAAGAAGCGAAATTTTCGGCAAATGTCGTCACAAAAACCGGTTTCGAGTAAACAAGGTCGTTAACAAAACCTAATGACCCAAGCATGCATTGCTTCACCTAAGCATTGTTTCGCCTACACGCATTCCGCACATTCTTTCGATAGCATAAAAGCAACCTACAATTTCGAAATTATTCACCACCTGATGATTCCTATACGGATGAAACAGACTGTTGTGGTTTTTTTAAGTAAAACGAAAAACTATATTACGCTCTATCTATATGGTATTGAGCACCGTTTGTGTTTCGTAAACCAAAATCTTAAGCTATATATATATATATATATATATATATATATATATATATATATATATATATATATATATATATATATATATATATATATACAAAATACAACTTGTATATTATTATTTTTTTTTTTATTAACTTTACAATCAATAACATATATTAACAAATGATTGAAGGAAAAAAAGGACAACAGATCTTAAATAAGATCCAATTAAGTCCCACCAAAACTATTTCTACTAACATGCATGCATAACATTTACATGTTTGTTAATCTGACTTAACACTTATCTGGCTAAAATATATGTATCCTTCACCTCAAAGAAAAGTAAAACATACCTAAGCCTTCGTTCAAAGACTGTAGTTTAACCAGGGCGTCACGTAATGCGATTTCCTCCGATCTCATTTTATTCATGTCCAGCTCTAGTTCAGCTCTCTGTAACTCAGCTGCAGACAACAGCTCTTTCACATGCGCATTTTCTTGCTCAACAACCTCTTTGTCAAGCACAGATCTATAAAATAGGAAAAAGGATAAATACTTGTACGGTTGTACCTTGCTTGTAAATTTATGTAATACAAGATGGGATGGTGGAATTTGCCAATTTTTTGTTGAAGCCAACAGGCGAGCTAAAATGGAGACCACGCCACATTCCGCCATCGCTGTTCCGCCATAGCTACAGTATTTATTAACCTTGGTTAACAGGTAGGGAGGTGCACAGTTTATGAAACGTTTGCTATTGTATCAAGGACCATGTAATGATTTCGAGTATTCACATGAACATCCAACAATTTTAAAACCAACTGAAATCCTTAGAAACATATGTACAAGAATCACAGTGACAAAAGTCTTCTGCTAGGAGTATGCGCAGCAGCGCACAAGGGGTCTAGAATTACATGTATACAGCTGTACCTTGCCTTGTAAGTTCTGCAATCTGCATCATCTACAATTTTAAAAGTAAACAAAGTCCTTACCTAGCCAGTTGTTCCTTGGTGTGAACAAACTCTTCTCTCATCGTGGACTGTTTTTCGTCACTTTGTTCAATCAAACCATGTAAGCGTTGCATTTCTTTTTGAAGTTTTGCTGTATCTCTTTCCAAATCTTCTTTTTCATCTTCAAGATTATCCCTCTGTCTTTGCAGTTCAACATTAGCTGCTTTAAGTTTGTCAATTTCGCTGCTGACAACATCCAATTCTTCTTGTAGTTTTTGACGAGTTTTCTCCACGTTTGTTTTATCAGCTTCCAGGTTCTCTGCATGACCTCTGAAACGTTCTTTGTCTGTGTGGAGTTCGTTGACTTTGTATTTCCTGTTGCAAAAAATGATAGCTTAAATATTAAAGTTCATCTTATGGTATACTAGAAATGTATGGTACGTTGTGGTGTCGTAGGCTTGGGATTGGTATGGTACAGTGCGTTACTATGGTATGATGTGGTACCTTAATATTATGGGCATGACATGGTATGGTATATTACGCTACGATATTAGTGTGGATTCTTAGTTAGTACCAGTGTATGACGTGGTCTGGTATGCTATCGTTTGGCCTGCTACGGTATTGATATGACATGGTATGATGGTACCTTAATGCTATGGTACGGTGTAGTGTGGTATGAAATAGTATGGTCCTTAGTTAATACCATGGTATGGTGTGGGATGATATGCTATGGTAATGATATCTTAATAGTACTATAGTAGTATCTAAATGCTATATGCTATGGTACGGAAACGGTATGCTATGGTACAGGCATACAGCATGTTACGGGAAAGTATAGTGCTTCATATACTTACGTTGTATCAAGTTCTTCGCGAACTGCATTCAACGTTTTCTCCAGTTTTCGTCGCTCATCTTCACTGAATTCCAGTTGTTTCTTGCTCTCGTTGGCGGAGTCTTTGGCAGCGTCTGCAACTGCTTTCATTTTCTGAAATGTGAAAATTTTCATTGTTAAAGATGGCTTAAAGATACCACTTGAGTGAATAAGGCTAGTGAGTAGAGTGGAGACAGGCAATAGTCAGTCATAATAAATGGACTTCTGACGACATGACCAGTGTGTTTATAGTAAGATTATGGACCATTACCTGTACTTGTAGACCGCGCTTGTGGATAGCAGACTGGACCATAGCTAGCGTATTATCGGCAACTGCCGGCGACCGACCACGTACGGGAGACAACGAGCGCATCTGGGCAGCTCGTGATGGTGACGGACTTCTTCGAGCGATTGTAATTGGTATGTCTTCAAACAGTTCAACAGCTTCTGCTGTCAAAGATTCATCAAAACTGTCACCTACATTGTAATATAAAAACTACGATGATCGAGTGTCATATTTTCCAAAGCCATGGTCGTTGTCGCATTATAGAGGGCTTCAGATCTCATTAACCAATCAAATGCATTTGATATACCGATTAACCAATCAGATGCGTAATAAGCCAGTGAGAGTAGCAGTAGTGGAATCTGAACCTCCCTCATAACGGTCTTATGAGGATTTCTCGCTACAATGCCTACATGTTTGCCAAATGTGGGGGCATTCTACAATAAACTGCCATAATCCAAAACAGCGGAACAGTGTCTTACAGAGCCCTGATGGCTGATAATATTCAGCAATAGGCAAGCGTCGTCCAATATTGGTAGTACACTACAATACGCTGCCGTTGGTTTGGGTCTGAACCATCTGAGAAGCCTGATCCACATGGATCAAGACTGAACTATCATGTAAATTATGTAATTATCATCCTACCTCCACACGAGGGAAGAGCCTAGGAAGAACGAGGTTGGTATTTATCACCACCACTCAAGCAGTTTTCATTCACCAATATATTTACTGGCAGTAGTTATACACAATCATACACTAAAACCTGTGGACATACATTTGCTTCTGCCATCAACAAATTTTCCACTGTCTTCGGTATCTTTAAGGATCGCCTTAGCAACTTCTTTGAGAGTGTTTGAAAGTAGTTCAGTCTCCTCACGCATTGCAGCTTGACTGTACTCTGTCTGAACTTCCCACTCTTCCGTTCTCGTGGCCATGCCTGTTTCCTAAAATGAAATGAAAGAAAAATTCCTAATGAAGATGGCTCGATGGTAGAACAGCGGTCTGGAAACTTTAAAATGCAAATAGTTTCTCGTTATTTCAGCAAGAATTATTTTGTAATTATAGTATATATTGAAACACTGCATGAACTCCAAGACCAGCGTTACGTTGTCAAAAATATTCCCCCATCGTACGTGCATTTAAACTGGATAAAAGTCCAATTTCCGTTCACTCGATAGATCAATGGATTGAGAGCTTGACTCGACAGATCAATATGATCAAGAGTAGTAACTCTCGAAAAAGGCTATTCCAAGTGAAGTTTAGTCTTAATGGAATGGACAGTCAGTACCCTCAAAACGCTCCCCAATCCCGTTCAAGACGATTGTTCTCTACAATTGAACTAGCTAACAAATGACAGTGTCCTATTGTTAGCATGTTGCATCTTGTAAGTCCACTAAGTAGAATTTAGTACAAACCAAAGATTGGATCTGTGTCTTTAAGATCGTGACATCACCGTCTTTTTCCTTCAACATTGAATTTTGTTTGTTCTTCTCATTTTCCAGTTCCTGAATTCTGCAAACAAGAATCACCTGGTTAATTGACAACATTAAATCTTGTTATAATCTCCCTTGATAGTCAATTGATTCCTTTTATCATGCGACTAATAATCCACCTACTACAGTATCTACATTATCTTTTATCTGTTCCTAATTGTTTGAAAATTTCTTGTTTCATATACCTCTTGTTATAAGTCTCCACATCTTTGGCGTATAGTGCTTGCAGGTCGATAAAGTCTTGAATTTTGTGCTGCAGCAACTGCTCAAGCTATAGATGACAACAACAAAATCAGTGTACACTGTATACTAGGCATGCCATGAGACGACCGCCCCGGAAGTATCACGTGCGGACGAGGAAGTCGTGAGCGATCACAGAAGCGTAGTTACTTTTCAGAAATAACTTAACGTTGCATTCGCGTTCCAGTTACCTTCCGAACGCACATGCATGGCAGTATTTAGGAAAAGTTTCGGCATGACAAGGAAAGCAAATAAAATGAAAGGCAGTAAAAATGCGTTTGCAACGAGGAAGCCAATTGGGACGCTATACTGGAACGGGGCGCGGCTTCTTATTAGTTCATTTCTAAGCGATACTTCACAAAAGAGGACTCAAGTAGTCAAACAAGTCTTTAACAAATCTACGCCATAGATTACCTGAACTCTTTTATCGCGTTCTTCCTCCAGTTCCAGTTTGAGATTGGAATCAAGACTTCTCATGTTTTTATCAAGATCCATACACGCACCTTGAACAGTGCGAGCAGATTTGTTCACTTCACTACGGATAACTGACAGGTCTCTGAAAAATAATGCGGAGTTTTGATTAATCTTATACACTGTTCTCACGAGTAGCCTTTTCTCCTCTCAAACACGCTAAAGTAATTAAAGAGCTTGGCTTGCGAGGTTGTACATGTAATACAAAAGTTACCATGAAGATTTGGGGTGGTGTACATATTTTTATGGTAAACAATAGAGTTTTTAAATCCTGAATCTATTGCTCTAATTAACTTCCATTGCGGTTTCCGTAGTTTTTCTCATCCCATGTGCTGCAACTTCTTAAAATTTCGAATCTGTATCGTGCACTCTTAATAACGAAGATTTGAGGTATTCAAAGCGTGTTTTACACAAATTCTCGGCTAGGAGAAAACCTAATCAATTATTTTTCATCTCCTTTAATCTCCGTTCTTCATTTAGCTTAGTGACTTATTGTCATTCAACAAATTCAATTCTGTCTTCCATCCTGTCCTGGCAAAACTGGAAACATACAGTAGAGTATAAATGTAACCTTACTTTTGCGTTGCAGACTTCATTTCATTAAATTGCCGTCGGAAGGAGGTGAGTGTCTGCCATAATGACATCAAACGGTTATGTTCATTCGCGAAATACGCATGCTCCTCTTCATCACGTGATTCTAGCTCTTCCTTCAATTTTTCATTTTCTCCCGTCACTTTTTGAACTTCCACAGTCAGCTGTTCATTTGCTTCTGTAGCATCATCCAGTTGTTCTCGAAGCATGTTGTTCACGTGTTGAAGACCTGCGCACCTAATAAAGACATTTAGCTTGAGAAAGATGTACACACGTAAAAACGCACAAGTTGTAACAAACGTGCAGCAGGCTTGTAGCAATGCTGTTCCAACAAATTGCGTATTTAACAGCTAGTGTGCAAATAATCACTATACTGCTGTTTTGTCTTGAAACCATCCTTTTTGACCGCTCTTGGTATTTCTAGCTTTTTAATCAATCCGCTACCTGTTCCGCTTTCTTTTACAATTGTCTTTGTGTTTATATCCTTTTCTATCTAGAATCTTCTCACTCTTCACTAGATGCACCTTTTGCCTTACTCTCTATTGCTTTCATCATTCTTATATTATCACCTGATATCAAGTTTTCAAACAATGAACATAGCATTTTATAAAATTAATTCCTCTAGCTGGACACTTAAATTTTAACTTTAATTCAGAAAACCCCCAAAAAGAATTAGAACCTTTGTTGTTCTTGTTCTAGTTGAATCAGTGAATTCTCCAGGTCATTCCCATGTTCCTCTTCAGTCTCTTTCAATTTTTCTTCTTTCTCTCGCAGTGAGTCTGTGGCATCTTGTAACTGTAAGAATTTACAAAAGAACAATGGAATGCAGTAACCCATCGAGTTGCATTATGGCGCCAATGCATCTTACTTAGTTTATTATTTCACTCTGTCTATTCTTTACTCATGTGTCACACTGGTACTCAATGGGGTAAAATACAGAAAGCAAATAAAAAGACATACAGATTTTGTTTTAACTTAAACAAACAAAAATACACAGATGAAGTCAAATGAAAAAAGGAAAATACACTGTTTCCCACAGCAAAACTATTTCTTTTTGCTGCTGGTGGCATTGAAGCCAATTGAGTGGGAACAAATGTTCATGAGACTTGCTATATATTTATATTGGAAGGCATAATAATCATACATTACATCTACTGTATCTCTAATACCTTTTTCTTTGCATGTTCTTCTCCCTGTATTTTTTCAGTCATTGAAGTCTCCAGTTCTCCACATTTTCGTTTGTACTGTAGCACCTAAACAACATTATCGTTAATAGTTATGTTAATAATCTTCTATCAATAATTAATTTTTAATATAAAAAATAATTTACTAATATATTAACCATTAATGATAAAAATATACAAGGTTATTCAATTTGTATGATTGGTCCAAAAACGTTTATAGAATTAATTATATCAAAATCTTCTGTTACAGGAATTCAATGAGGACCATTACAGAGCTTGAAATAACAACCGTTCACCAATCAACGATCGGCAAGAAATTGCTTATGATCGGTGGAAAAGCAACCCAGAAAAAGCAGGGAAAGTCATGACTGCTGATCACCATGATCGGGAACTTTGGGAACGTTATTTCAAGCCCTGCCAGGACCATAACCCTACTCAGAAAATCAAATTATACATTATAAGAAATCTTCAACAGAATTATTTTCACTGTCTGATGTAGTTTGCTTAGACCAAACAGGAAATAGAAAAAGTCCTGTTTTGGTGAATAATAGTTGACATGAATTCACTAGTCAAAGCTGAAGGTTAAGCCTCAAGGCCTTTTATAAATTAACCCATTAAGTTGCATTCTATGAAATGGTAGTGTAGTGATGACAGAATTATTTATGAATGAAATTAAGCCACTTGGATATTAATAACTATTTATCCAACTCAAGTCAAACCTTAGCTTGAAGTTTCTGTATCAACTGAGCTTGTCTTTGTTGCCCATCTTGATACGCCTGAAGTTTTCGTTTATAACTTGCATGTTCGTCATCCAACTTGTGCCGAAGGTAGGCCACTTGCTGAACAAGACTATCGTTTCCTGCATCAGTTGTGTTAATGCTCTTTCCTCCATTTTTCACATGTTCGTTAAGCTGGATTAGAATGAAACAACAGATTGAACTAATTCATATTCCTTCAAACACACAGCTTTATTATAATAGTGTGAAGCACTTGGCTTAGGGTCTGTTCACACAAGAGGATGGAACATTTATGACAATGGGAGGACAGTTGGGACCCCAGGAACCCCAAACTAACAGATTCTTTGTAATCAACAGATTTAGTAATACCATATAAGTGGTACAGTGCAAAGCCATAATCATGGTAAAGTAACAACCCTGGTAAAGTAACAGTAACAATAGCCCTGTTTATTACAAGAGAAACAATGAAACATTTGCCATGGATGCATAATTGAGAGAGTTGATCCAGCCGAGGGTCTTTCCTCTTTGGGAGAAAAGATGCTGGTTGGTCATGTGATCTGCTAAAATGTAGCAGATTTCTAATTAACTATCTTGGATTCCTTTACGACAATCATACAAAATGCAAATTATAAATTAAACCATAAAAATCATGCAAGTATAAAATATTTATTGACCTCATCTAGGATTGCTAATTAAAAATCTGCTAGATTTTAGCAGATCATGTGACTAGTGTCTACCAGGGTCTTTTCTTCCCTCACCAAGAGGAAAGACTCTGGGTACGTGGTTACAACACAACCACAGTTTCTTGTACTGAGTACTTATAATACAAGAAACAAGATAAGGTGTTTGGATGAAGGATAATAGCTGGATACTCGACAGGTCCACATTTCCCTTCCCCTCCTCCCTAGCACCACTCTGCAGGTCAGATCCACATGGGACACTTGATTTCACAATGGCAGAAAATTAATATGAAAAACACCTGGCCTGACGAATAACTCATCTAAATTTAATTTTAATACCTATTTTTAAGTTAAAAATTAAAAATAGTGAATAATTTATTTCAACGATATTGCCTCGCTAATTTGTAATAAGCAGACTAGATGGGTTACATTGATATTGGAATAAATTAAGAGGAAACGACGGAAGATGTGAAAGCAAACACGTGCATAGCACAATACAGACACCCCCTCAAAATAAACAATACGCTCAGCTTGGCTGCTATTCACATTTAAGTATTGCATACTTACTCGCTCACTTACTGCTAAATATTTCGATGATATTTCATCTCTTTCAGCTCTGGTCGAAGACAGCAAATCTTCCAGTCGACCAACTTCGTTCTCCAGTGCTCGCTTTTCATCAGAAAGCGTCCCCGTAGACATCTTCGGCTCGGAACTGGAAATCGATTTTGTCACTATATCGCGAATTTTACTAGGTACATAAGCCTTTCCGTTGTGACTTGTTTTCTCGTCTGATTGCAAGTGTTGTTCTTCTAGTTTCTGTAAAACAATATGTGGTTAAAAGTGTGGAATAATATTGCTCACCCAATGTAGCAATTACGGTTTCGAATCTGTTCGAATAGTACACATAGGTAGGAATTATGAGAAAGGATGCGATTTTTTGCAAACCTTTATAACGCTAGGCAGTCGTGATTCGTAAGTTGTTGAATAAGGACTCCTTGAATCGTGGAAGCTCATGGTTGACCTTCGGCTTTCCCGATTGTATCAGTATAGAAAGTTTACAACTCTTTGTCTTCAACAATCAACACAACACAAAGTGCAGGTACTCCAACAAGCCGCAAGGCGACCACAAATTTTACCACAAATCGTGCTCCACACAGGTCAATAAATTTCCTCAGAAAAGGACAACACTCAAGTCATGCAAGCCCAAACTGCTTTCAATGTTTGGCCACAAACAACGGCTGCAAAAAGCCACAATTTGCAAGATTTGTTTCGAGATGAAATCTGACTTGTGAACTGAAGCGTACGACCTTCACGCGCCCGCGAAAGGACGCGACGCTAAAGTGCAGGTAAGGTTACCATGGAAACATGACGGTAATGACGATCACAGAATAATAATTTGTTAATGACCGTTCGCTCGAATGTAATGTGAGACGAAGCGTAAACTATTTCGTTAATCATGAAACAATTTATGAGTTCACCATTCATCAAATCATTACAGGATCATTACCTTTCAAAATGTTTTGATTGTTAAATTCATTAGTGCGATAACCAAAAAAAAGGTTGTAAATAATTTTTGGCAAAGCGCCTGGGACGAGGCTGATTTTTGGTGATTTTGCCAATTGCATTCCAAAATTGTTTTGAACGCTAAAAGATAAAGGTTAACGATTCATCACGATACATCAGTCATCAAAGCTACTGAAGGACAAACACCAAAATGGCAACTGGGCTGGTTTCATTTGTCCCTTCAGTAAGCTTCGAGATTTTTTGGAACATCAAGTACTGATGATGCACCAGTCTTTCCATGACTGATATCATAACGGAAGAGTCGATAAAACTGAACAATTAAATACAGCTAATTTATGAAAGATTTGTCTTGCTTATAATATAAAAGCTCAAAACATCACCAACCGAATATCGGCAATTTGTAAATGGCTATAGCTCCTGTGCACGTCCAACGCTAACTTCCCATAATTAAGATACACACGACTTCTCACGAACTCATTCTCTAATCAACACAAGGATGTCAAGCTAATATTGGAAGAAAACACAAACAACCTCCAAAAATGAAGATTGAATAACGATGATCTTAACTCAGTTTAATTATTTAACAGTTTTTTTTTTTATAAATTCCCAGTAACGTATTTCCATTGTCGAGTTTAAAACCAATCTCTTACCTTCAACGAATTTATTATTCCCTTTTCGGATACCTGCTAGCTGTTAATTGCTTTCTATCAGCAGTTTGCTTGTCCTGCAGTGGTCCCGAAGTATAAACACACAGGAAGCCTACATGTATCTAAGCCGCTATTAAAAGATGTCTCTGCAAACGATGCCAGCCTAAGTTAAGCGTATTCCCATGCAAATCAAATTACAATGTATGCAAGAGTATTAAAGTTTCTTTAACTAAGGTCGAGTGTTACGTATCGCGCATGAAAGGCAATTGATGAACGAAAACATATCTAATCCTAACAAACAATAGAAGGTAATCTTAGGGTAATCAATCCTTGGCTGTGGTTGGCGTCACCGGAAACTACATAAGGATCAAAGCGCATCTCTTTACTCATTGTACAAAATGTACTTATAAGTTATAGTGCAGAACGAGTAGAAATAGAAATTAAGAAACGTTAAGTAGCATACGCGAATATAGTTTATCTGACGGATCATGCCATTAACTACCATCTTTCCAAAATTCCGAAGTGTTGTTTCATAATAAAAAGTATATAGCTTATCCATTGAAGTACCTAGCCCTTGGTGCCTTTTTCAATAAATATTTTAAGCAAAACATGCAGATCTTTTCGTGTTTCAAGCAATCGACTGAAATAGATTAATTTTTAAATATTCAGTTAAACATATATATTCATTAATAATTTTTCAAGTAGCCATATATCACCTATAGTTACAGTAAACATTTCACATAAGTTTTATTTGCCTCAATATTCCTAACTATATAAAATAGCTGGAAAGTCTTGAACATCTTCCTGACTTTAGACAAAGATATGTTGATTGTTGTTATATAAATTCTATAAAGACAATTCTGGCAATCAAATTCAAGGATCGCGTTCTTGTTGCCATATTACATATATTACTTATAGTTAAAGTAAACATTTCACATAGGTTTTATTTGTCTCAATATTCCTAACTTTTTAGAACATCTGGAAAGTCTTAAACATCTTCTTGACTTTAGACAAAGATATGTTGTCATATCAGAAATTCTAATAAAGACAATACTGACAATCAAATTCAAGGATCGCCTTCTTATTGGCATATCACCTATTATAGTTACAGCGGTAGACATTTCATATAAGGTTTTACTTGCCTCAATATTCTTAACTATAGATAGAATAGCTGAGAAGTCTTAAAATTCTTCCTCTAATAAAGCAATACCGACAATCAAATTGAAGGATCGTATATTGTTGCCTTATCACCTATACAGAGTTATAGTAAACATTTCGGTTTTGTTTACCTCAATGTGTTCCTATATGAATATAGAATGGTTGAAGAATTTTTCAACTTTTTCTATAGACAAATTCATGTTGTCATATAAATTCTCAGACGTAGGGCTAGGATGAAAAAATAGGATCGAACCTTGTTGCCATATATAGTTACAGTAAAATATAAGTTTTGTTTACCTCAAAGACAAAGATCGGTTCCTAAATAACATAAAGTGGTGCGAAAGTTTTTAACTTAATTCTTTTAATATATATGGCTACTGATAGATTCCTAGAATATCGATTCCAATATAGACCGCCAAATTGAACTGCGCGGTTCAGACTGGGAATATCATCTAGTTGCCATACATAGTTACAGTAAACATATTATCTGAATTTTTGTTTACCAGAATATTCTTGCCTATAGAGTGATAACCGTAGTCCACTTCAACTTCTTCCGGTGAGTCAAGATCAACCTCATACATTGGATATTCTGACAAGATTTCTCCACGATCTACACTCATTCTTCACGATTTTAGTATTTTCCAAAGATTGCACTGCCACTGGATTTTCAGTGTTGGATTAACCGGAACACAAACTAAATTGAAAGAGATCTGGAGCTTAATGCCTGTATCTTCCGTTTTCTTGGACTTTTTCTCGAAGAAATGTGCAGTTATAGTTTCCTTAAAATTCTTACTTTCAAAAACTTCCAGTCGTCCTGCAAACCACCGCTATTAATCAAAACTGCTAGACTTGCTGTGCTGCTTTTTAATTAATGCAAATAGATTAAGTCTGCCAGTACTTTAAATGGCCGTGCACATTAATATTTGACAAAATGAAATATGCAAATTGTTTTTGAAAATTAAAACGACTAAATTACGGAACAATATTTGAATATCTTATCGTGCAGTATCTAAAAAATACAGATCAAAACAGATTAGTGCAACCTTTTCATAATCTAACCATTATGATGTTCAACATTTTTAACTGATAATGAAAGAATTATAAACACATTAGTTATGTGACGTGTTGATGAGTGTCAAGCAAGGCCAACAGGTGTCTTTGAGTTAACATGGAGGGGGTGTCCATTACTCATTAGTTTTTCTTACATATTTTGGTATGCTATTATACGAAAATAAGATATTTTGAGAAAACTATAAACCAAGAAAAAGTAAACCGTTTTAATAGCAATTTATTTAAAAAGAAGAATTTTCATCAAGAAACTTTCGTGTGTCGAACCTAACGCAATGAGCTCAAATAATGAGTTCAGGTCAGCTATACAAGGATCGTTACTAAAACAGCGCCACGTTTGGACTATCATCAAAGATGATCATTTGAAATGATCGACCTGTTGCTAATGCCGCGATTTTCAATGGCTGAGTCAACCTCGTATCCAAGTATTTGCCATTCTTTTCTTGCTAAACTAATTTAACTTGTCAATCAAGCTAAACTAATTTAACTTGTCAATCAAATTAGAGACTGCTGTCACAACAGTTAAGCCCACACTGTTTGTCGAGTCCTTTTTAAAAGAAAAATAGTAAGTAAAATTGCTGTAATACTGTACTTTACTGCTATATTGCTATATTAGAATACTTGCACATTTTTTCTTTCAAACCAAGTATTTATTTACAGTAAATGTACAATAAGTTCACGTCTTTTCTCAATTACTTTGATTGTACAACATGTGTCGATGTTTTCTTTTTCTGATCCCTACGAAAATATTCAGCGCATTTTTTTATGCAAACATGCCTGACTGACTTGTGATTCCGGAGGATCTGTTAACCTGATTCCAGCCCGATCTGAGAATTCCATTTACCATTGCGTTGCTATCAAGGATAACAGGCAGTGCCCAATACTTCATGTCTCCTCAACATCGCACTTTCACATCATCTAAACCAAGTGTTACGCTGATTTTAAGGTCTTGTTATCTTCTTCAAGGAATTGAAGTAAGCCACGAGGGCCTTCAGTTTCAACATAAACCTTCAGATGAAAAAATGAAAATGGTTTACACGTACGAAATGTTTATCCTTTTACGAAACAAAAAGTTTATTATAGGCAAGCATTCTTCCATCCTCGTCCCCAGGCCCAAGCTCGGTGTGAGGGCCGCCCGAGCTTGGGCCTGGGGACGAGGATGGCATTTTTCCTGGTTTCTGGTGATAAAATAGCCACGAATTAATAACTCGTCCTCGAAAACGGAGTGCTGGCTTTTGAAAAGGTAGTTCTGGCATTTGAAAACTGAATTTTGGCATTTGAAAACGGAGTTCTGGGATTTGAAAACGCAGTTCTGGCATTTCAAAACGGTAGATCTGGCATTTGAAAAGGTGCTCTGGCATTTAAAAACTGAGTTTTGACATTTGAAAAGGTAGTTCTGGCATTTGAAAACTGAATTTTGGCATTTGAAAAGGGAGTTCTGGCATTTGAAAACGGAGTTCTGGCATTTGAAAACAGAGTTTTAGCATTTAAAAACGGCGTTCTGACTTTTGAAAAAGGAGCTCTGGCATTTGATTTCAAATTGTGTTATTCGATTTCAAATTGTGTTATTCGATTTCAAATTGTGTTATTCGATTTCAAATTATGTTATTCAAATTGTGTGATTCGAATAAAAGAAACATATATTGAGTGTTAGCACAATAGATTACTGGAATTATGACCCTAATAACGCTTCATAATTACCAACCTTTACTAAATCCACTCCCTCTAACCGTTCCTGTTTGGAAATTACTGCGCTTTTTGAAGAAGGATGAAGAATATGGAAAAGCTGGACCACATCACATGCGTCTGAAATTCTAAAATAACGTACAGTATTTACTAGCACAGTCAACACAAGGATCCTGTTCAGAATATGTAAGAAAGAAAACACAGTATCTTACAGATCTCTTTTTAGAATATCAACCAACAGCCAAGTCAATATTTTCTCCTTTGTAAAGTAGTAAACCATGCCTCCAAAATGTCTAGTCGAACGAAGAAGGTCAAACGACCTTTTTCTGTTCAAGTCTTCATACGTTCGCTGATGAACCTACAAATATATCATTGGTAAGAATCTTGAAATCCACGCTCTTTCGTCTACGCTCTCTCTCTCTTTTACATTCCTACCTCGCTGGGGGAGCCTGGGAACGAGGTTGAGTCGTATAAACACATCCGACTGTGGGCTTTTACCGGCCAAAAGAAGGATAAACCCCTTCTGGACGTACTTAAGAAAAGGTCCTTTTGAGAAATACGAAAAACTGTTTCAAATTAAAGCACATTGTATGGAACTCACCCTGATGTAATCGGTGGAATCTGGCTCACATTGAACGCAAACGAGATCCAAGACATCCACATGGCCATTTCTATTGAACGCATTCTGTAAAAGAAATCGATAAAATGAAATTACCAAACACACTGAAAACCATTCACATATGTTGCCTTCCCTATTTGGTTAGCCACATTGGACTTTCCTTCGTATACAAACCTCTAAATGTTCATCTTCCAAGACACTGGACATTTTGTAAGTCTGTCCTTCTCTTTGAAAAAACAAGAAATTCATTCGGTCTCTTTCGTCCCAATGACCTTCACGTAACGTACCATCGGGTTCACGCACAACTATCCGTCGATCCTGCAAGTCATTGGTATTACGTTACCTCTTATAGTGGGTAGTACCAGAGCTGATATGAGAGACCTTAAAGATGATGTCCACTCCTGTGCACATGCGCGAACTTTGTTTACGTTTTGAACTGCTATATTTATAAAATATGATATACTAACTGAATATCTAACACTTTTCTGGTTCGCTATATTTGTAAATGAATATAAACTATACGTTTCAATTCAAAAAAGTTCGAAACATGCAAAATTTGGGCAATGTTTATATCTGGGGGTCCCCCTTTGTTATGAGTAGAACTGATGCGCAGAACGGAGTGGACATCATCTTTAAAGGCACAGTTCAGCCTTTTGAACGATGGTTCTTAAGGCGCATTTGAGCCCTTTGAATTGAAAAAACTAACTAGGAAAATCAATTAAGCATTATTCAGAATCAGTAAACTCGATGTTTTTAACAATATAAATGTTTTAAAATGTTAAAAATATTAAGTTTGGTGATCTTGAATTATGCTTAATTGATTTTTCTAGTTAGTTTTTTCAATTAAAAGGGCTCAAATGCGCCTTAAAAACCATCGTTCAACAGGCTGAACTGTGCCTTCAAGATTCACGTTTATGGCAGGCAGCTAACAGCAAACTTCAAGTCGCATTTGACGGTAAGTTCCACACGTTTTCGACAACTAAGTAGCTAATTTATACTTCAATTTTAATGCACAACTTGCCCTAACTTTGTATGGAATTAGATAGTCATATTATTATATCAATGTACATGAAAAGTACCCTAGTAAGTAGTTTGTAGATTTCGTTCCAGAAATTATTATAACAGTTGTACTCAAAATACAATTTGAAGTTTGCGGTCTGCCGTAAACGTCAATCTTAAGGTCCTATAGTATAGCTGTATAATATTATACAGGAAATATATGTGGCAAATTTAAGAAGCAAGAGTATTCTCAAAAAGTGTAAGGGAAGTCCGGGAAAATACGTCGATTTTGTAAGAAATGGCTTTAAGATACGTCTTAGTCGATATATTAGCGGATATTATAACAATAAGAGAAATATATGTGGCAAAAATATGTCCATTCTATAAGATATCACTGGAAAATTTGAAACATTTCCATTCTTTGGTTTTCTAGATAGTCCAGAAACTTTCCACGCTATTTCTGGAAAATTTCCATATACTATATATGGAAGAGTGCAAAACGTCTTGAATTTCTAACTTTTTTGCATATAATTTCTATAGAATTTCCACAGTACGGAAGTGTTGCCAGTGATCTTGTTTTAAATTGCAAGAATTTGTCAAATAAGAAATGAAATGAATGAGAATGCATGAAATGAAATATATACATGGCCAAATTAAAAAATGTACATTCTTTACAAAAAAGTTCTAAATTTTATAGCTAGAGCTTCTCAAACTTGTCACCACTTTTCAGTGATTAAGTTGACTCTATGTTGCTGAATATTTTTGTTACCTCAATGGCATAAAAGATTCTCTAAATTAATTGCTAAGCATGCATTACCCTGTTTGTATTGCCCTGACTAATATCAGTGAAAACAATATTGCATTCTGAATATCCCTCAAGGTCTGGTCTTTTTTCCAACACTATGTTTGAATCCTGTCTTTCCTCCATTACTGCTGGCATCTCTAGATACTTCTCTGCTTCTTTTTCAATTTCTTTTTCAGCCTGTATGAGTGTATTCAAAGTGATGAATGTTATTCATTGAGTCAGTTCTGCAAAGTTTATTTCACATAACCGAGATTTTGGGCACACAGTTTTGATGTTTTCTGTACAATTATTGGATCTCAGGTGTAATATCAAACCTTTCCAGTCAGGCACAATTTAAACACAGTGATTCATTATCCTTAAACTATTCCTAATATTTACAATCCTAATTCGTGACCCTAACCCCAACACTAATCTAATGCGGGGAATGTGCAACCTCGTCCCCAGAATAAAGACATACAGAAGGTCGACTCGAGTAACCGCTGCCACACACACTGGCTAGGACCATGGCGTCAGCATTTTGATGACGAATTATGGTTACGCCAAAATCATTGGAAAATTATAGGAAAAAACAATAAGTCGGGCTTCTGTATGACTTATTCTGTGCCCAGGGTCTTCTTCACGCGTTCATGGAATGTG